GGAATAGCCCCATAGGAGCTCTACACACACACACACACACACACACACACACACACACACACACACAAAAAAAAATCTGAGCAGGCACTGCAGACTCTGGGAGTCTATCATGAACAAATCTGCACCAATGTCCAGGAAGAAGTCAGAATGCTGAAAAACACACCCCCTTCTCCTGAGCACTCCTAAGGTTCCTAAGAAAATCCAACCTGGAACAGGTGCTGCTTTTCATGAAAGAAAGCCAAAGCTCTTGAGTCTTCCAAGAAACCACCATTCTGAATGCTAAATTTGTTGTTTTTATGAGTAGTTAAATGGTAATGGAAAATCTGTTGAAGCCTGAGGTATGATTGATTGTTTCCTAGTGTTGTAATAAAGATCATTATCTATGAATCAGAGAAGCCTCCACTTGGGAAAAAAAAAATCTCATCACAAAATAGACCGTCAAGTCAGAATCACAGCCATCAAAGAACAAAAAAGAGTTCCTTCTGTGAAGTCCCTGCTGAGGCCACTGAGAAAGAGGAGGATCTCGGCATTCACAGCCATTTCCTTCGCACTGCAGCACACACACACACAAATCTAACAACACACCTTCCTTCCTTTCTTCTTCACCCCATTAATCCATCTTTTTTCATTTATTAACTCAACAAAAATTAGGAATTATCTAATACATGCCAGATTTATATACACACTACCTATGCCAGGATACAGCAATAATAATAATAAGACAACAGCAAAAAAGGAACCAATTTCCCAAAGTAGGTACAAATATTTGTAGGTGAGCAACTGATGTATAGGAAGATTAATTCCCTGCGTCATAAAATCAGTGTCAAAACTAGACTTTAGGCCTATATTTTTAACTCTAACATATATGTTTTTAACCTCTGTATCATATAATGAAAAAAAAAAGGTCTGACTTTTCAATGAACCAGAGAAGACAAATATGAAATAAACACATGAGCAACCTATCATTTCAAATATTGATATGAACTACAGAAAGAACAGGGTGATATGAGGCATAACACACCACTGAAAGACTGAAAGGCTCTGCTTATTGGAAAAGAATGACAGTAATGATTTTTGGACTCTTGTTGCACCCAATAACAAAGTTATAAAATTTTTAAAAGTAAGTTAGATAAAAACACTTGGAGGAAACTAAGGCTAAGAGGCTGGGAGGAACCAAGTAAGCAATTTGGCACTTTGTACTTGCCACAAAGCCTTGCCATCATGGTGGTCCTTCTTGATACTCAGAATATGACGAGATGCAAAACCTGGGAGAGCAACCCACCTCTGTTCTTATGCCTCCTGAGGGAGAATATCAAACCTGGATGAGATCTCCGTCAGAATATCAAACCTGGATGAGATCTCCATCCCTCACAGATGAAAGTGAGTGCCTTGTCTGCTGCCTTCCACCAAGAAATCGCTGGTAGACACAAACTCTTAAATTTTCCTATAATATTTTAGCTTATAAAAAAGAAAATATTTCTTTGGTCACATTGGCTTCTAGAAAGACTTCAAGATAAGGTTTACAGTCAGTAAAAGAAACAAACTCTGTAAATAGTGGCTATCAGTAGACTTGGAAACTGAAATGCTGTTTGAAAGAGAATAGAAACAGAGAATGAAGTTCCCCGGGGAACAAAATTTCTGTACCATCTTGATGTAAGAAAAAAGTAGGGCTTTATTATCTTGTTTGATGATTACAGGTGTATTTTTTTTCCTTTCACAGAAAAAAAGTTTCTCTCTTCTTCTCAAGGAGTTGTCTGTCTGAAGATACGGGAAAATTTTGTGTCTCTGGCTGTCATTTATTTCACGCATTATTTTATGCCTGCAGTCTTTATAATAGTCATAAATATAAGACTACATCCAAAATAGTGTGACATATTCGTTTCTAATTCTGTGTTTCCTAGTCTCTGGCTCCCAATGTTAATTTTGAGGGGTAGGGAAAAGGGCATCTAAACAGATGAACAGAATCATTTTCAGGTTCAGCAAATGAAATGATTTTTCTAGTTCTTTGTTCAGAATCATTAAAATTTTCTTGATATTTTATTTCTATATGACAGTCTTTTATGAGGCTAGAGAGATGGCTCAGCATTTAAAAGCACTAGTTGCTCTTACAGAGGATCCAGGTTTGGTTCCCAGAACCCACATGGCTGCTAACAATTGTCTGTAACTCCAGTTCCAGGGGATCCAACATCCTCTTCTAACCTCCATGGGCATTGCATGGGTACACTTATGTTCATGCAGACACTATACTCAAACACATAAAATAAAAATAATAAATAAAAATATTTTTAAAGGACAGTCTATTGCTTCATTACCTTGTCATTTCACGTAGGGTTTTATATTTGACCTGGCTCTGATTTAAAACACTAGTCTATTAAAATTATTAGATAACTAAATGTACAAGTTAGTTACTTGGCTTCAAATGAAGGTCAAAGAGCATCCAAAAAGAAAATAGTACATTGTATCACTTTTCATATTCGTCAAATTTCACTTAATATTATTCTGGATACATAAACTATAAGCATGGGAAGTTTATGTAGTATTAAAGAGCACTAAAGAGGAAATATCCTAAGATTAGAAATGGAACTTTCAAATAATGTTCAATACATTATGTACTATGTCATACTTCTTGTTAATGTCATCAGATTTGAAATAAAAACTAAAACCATGTTGAATATGACATTCTTCAGAAATGCCTTCCATATCTATTCCTTTAAAATCTGTGGCTATAACTTATTTTGATTCTTATTTGACCTTGTCATAATCTATTATTTTATTAATATAGTTAATTAATAAACAAAAACCAGAAATAAGATAACAAATAAATTACAAATGAATCCTTTTTTGAGTATACCAATTCTCCAAAATGAAGAAAATGCCCTTTTCTGGATGTTACAAAGACAATAATCACATTTTAATGAATGGAAGTCAAAATAGTATATGTCAGATGTCCAAAAACATGACATTATGTTTCACTACCCCAGAAAAATTATTTTTGTGTGTTCTATTGCAGGAAAAGGAAAAAGGCAACATTATAATACCTGAAGTTTTTGCTAATTCTAATGGTGATCACTCTTTCCCCAAGACCGTTTTTCTTTTCTTATTTTTATTTAAAAGTATGGTTTTAAATATAAAAGTACATCAAAATAAAATATTTAACAGTGTGTTACTGAAAAAGTACCTGCAAATTACTCTCACACCTTTGAAAAACAATCTAATTTGAATCACCAGTCTAAATAGGTCATTTGACTTAGGAAAATTAAAATTAGCTGTTCAGGGTCAATTCTTTTCTTCAAACATCTGCATCCTGTATGCCCTATTCCCTTTAAAGTCAAACCAGAGGTAAGCATCAAGAATAACTATAATACATGAATTTACTACAAACCTCAAAGTTATTCTGCTCTTGAAATGTCCGTAAAAGTTAATATTATATAAAGACCCAAGTTGGAGCATGTAGAGTGACAGAAGGCAAACTCTTACATTTCAGGATGTTGGAATGTGGGGAGAGGTGGGTCTCTACTGGTGCTTATTTCTTGCTTGTCACATATATATTTTCACAATAAATTCAAATCAAAATCAGCGAGACAAACTTAAAAAATACGTATTTCCATACATTTTTAGTCTCCCATAAGCCTTTTCTTTTCCTTATATGAAACTAACAAAATTATGAACATTTCTCAATATGGTGTCACATGCCTATGATCCCAGGGCTAGGAAAGTTGAGGCAGGAAGATTAGGAGTTTGAGGCCAGCCTCTGCTACATAAGGGGACATTGTCTCCAAAAACCACCATAAACCTTAATGTGGCCCAGACTATTAGTATTTAATCACTGTACACATTCCAGTAAACTACTTCCCCGGAAACCTTGGAAAAACAGAATAAATAGCAAAATCTGGAAATTAACAAACAAATAATAAAACACAAAGGGGACAGTTTAGCTGACTGGGACATTCAAGATTCCTCCATTCCAAAGGACTTCTACACTGTGTCAAGAATCCAAGGGCCATTGACTTCAGAAGGGAAGGCAGGCAAGGTGGCTGGCAGAAAGGATGGCACTGGGAGAAGTTCAGCAAGAGCCCCCCCCCGCCCCCCCTTTTTTTCAGGACTCTTCAAAGCCACCAGGAAATGCATGCCTCATCCTTTCTGGATTGAAAGTAACTTTGATGCTGAGGAGGAAAAAATGTCCTTTCATATCCCCAGCTGGCAATAATCTACCCTGCATTGGCAGTGTTCACAGATGCGGATGAAACAAACCAGCTTTCTTCTTTGTCCACTTCTCTAACACCACTTTCCCAAAATGAGATCTTGAGAAATCCAGATTCCCTCAAGACCTCTGTCTGTTTAAAAAATGAAATGGAAGGACCTTTACTGGAGGTGTGGCATTGGAGAATTGCCAAGGAACACTCTAAACTACCTTTTTTTAGTGGACCTCAAAGCTGAATTACAATTTACTCATCTCTAAATGGATAATAAAATATTTATCACTGCCCAAGACAATTTCACTCAAACTGCCCCACCACTCCAACACACACACCACGAAGCAGAAAGAAATAATCCCAGTAAAGGACAGATCAGGCTAGTTTGCTCCTTCCACTACAACGTCTCCAACTCGCTTTTCTTTTGCCTGTACCAGTCTCTCCTAGTCCCTCAGCACAGCCCCGCCCCGGACGGTCTCTACGCGGCCACTTCTCCGCCCCCCCCCCCATCTTTAGTTCTGAGCGGACTCAGCCCAACAACTGCTCAGCCTCCAGAGCGTCCCTCAAGGTGGCGTTCCTCCAACTCCAAAGGCTGTCGAAAGCCTGGGGACCTGGTGCTACCTTCGCGGCTGGGGAACCCCGGGGGTTCCGGCCTGCCAAGGCTCCTACCTCCACACCCCTCAGCTCAAGAAGATTAAGTTGCCCCGGACCCCGCCGCGCTCACTGTCCGGTCCCTCCCACTCTGGCCCCTCCGGGGCTTGGACGCCCAGGGGTCCCCCGCCTCCGCGGAGGTGAGCGCGCACTCACCCGAAGTGAGCTGCATCCAGGCACAGATCTTGTACACCGTGGCGGTGTTGCAGAAGAAGAAGAGGGTAAAGCAAACGATGCAGGCGATGATCAGCATCATGGAGAGGCCAATGAAGAAGGAGGCGGCTTTGAAGGCGCCCGAGGGCAGCGTGGAGAAGTCCGTGAAGCTGCCCCTGCAGGTCAGCTCCCGGGAGAAGCCGTTGCCGATGCAGTAGTGGAAGAGCCCGAAATAGCCGGCTTGCGGGGTGTCCACGCCGTCGCCGATCCAGTAGGGCTGGATAAAGCACACCACGTTGACGATGGCAAAGCAGATGGTGAAGATGGCCCACAACACGCCGATGGCCCGCGAGTTCCGCACATAGTTGGTGTGGTACAGCTTGGCAGCCTCCTGAGCCGGGAGCATCGCGGCGGCGGCGGCAGCGGCAGCGGCTCCGGGCATTCTCCCCCTCCTCCTCCTCCGCCTCCCGGTCCTCCGCCTCCCCCCGCCTCTCAGCGCGCAGGAGACACACTCGCGTAGCGGCGCGCGCTGCAACTCCCCTGCCTCCACCTCAGCCCAGCAGCACCAGTTCCAGAGTCTGCATCCTCGCTCCCGGAAGGAGGGCGGGGGAGCGTGGAGCACCCCTCCGGCTCGCCTGGCACAGCCTCCGGGTCCCCCCTCCTTTGTTCCCTCCCTCCTGGCCGGGGCTCCACGCCTGCTCACCACCCTCCACCCTTCTTCCCGCCGCTGCAGCTGCTGCAGCTGAAGCCGGCGATCCCAAAGGCTCCCACTCCCCTTCTCTACTCTGCCCCCCTTTTCTGCCCTATCTGCTGGTGCCCAGGGCGCTGAGGCCCGCGGCAACCCTGGGATGCTCCTTAAGTGGAGGAAGCGAGCCAGAGAAACCGGCCTGGAGTTCGGGAAAATCTAAGACAACACCCACAGGAATCCTAGAGGCAGTCCCAGGATCCTGGCTGGTGTTGAGGGCTGGACTCTAGAGGCTGATTTGGAGAGCATTTCATCACCGCACCAGAAGGTGCTTTGACCTCTGTATCTGAGCAGAGGCAAAAGGTGCAGCCTAGGCAGGTGCAGGCAGGAGAGACTCTGAACGAAAGGACAAGGACGTGGTGCCCTGAGAGGCTTCCTGGTCAATACCACAGAATTGCCCCTGGCAAACTCCTCAGTTACCCAGGGTCAGCAGTTGGAGGTAGAAGTTGGATAGGATCCTGGCAGACAGTAAGGCAGAAATCAAAACTGGAAGTGGTCTTTTATCTGCCTAGCAGCTTGCTTCTCTTTTTCCCTATGCAGCCAGATGAACTATGGCCAGCTGACACCCATGTTTCACATCAAGTCATCTCTTTCCCACAACGCTTGTCATACATAGATGGGGCCTGTGTGCACTGGAGGAAGTGATTGTGGTAGAATTTTAAACTTTGTTTGAAAACATTGGATAGTTTGGCAGGTGTTCCATTTATTACACAAATAATCATTGACAGCTACTGTGTGCTGAAGATACAGCGGGTGGCAACTGATTGCCTTAACAGTCGAAGTATTTCCATCTCCCCTATAGCCTAAAGCTCCAGTTAATCAGACATTTGTTTTCAGGGTAGCATCCCCTTAATAGTCCACATATGACTCCTTATGTGCCTTAGTGTGCCTGCACTTGTGCCCTTAGTCAATTTATTTTCCTTTTCCCAGTATTCCCATTGATTTTTCTCACAGCCTTTATGTTCAAACTGAGTTTCTCTGTTTCCATCAGTTATTGTTTGATTCCTTCTGAAACACATGGTAAAACCAGAATGCTCAGAAGCAGGAATAGATTTTGGTACAAACCATTTTGAGCCATATGATTGCTGAATTCCTTGAGCAAAAGAGCTCTGATAGACTTTGATCCCCAAGTCTATACTCAATTGGCTATGTAAATGACCCTTCAATGAAAGAAAGCCCCAAACCTAGGTGAAGATTAACTTTGTTCTTCATCTGATAACCTGAGGATCTGAGATTGTGTGAGACAGGAAAGGGAGAGGGAGAGGGAGAGGGAGAGGGAGAGGGAGAGAGAGAGAGAGAAATTGGGATATGGGTTACACAAGATAATGAAGTAATGAAGGGAGTGCTGCAGTCACTATGAAAAGTTTGAAAGTGTGAGTGTCAGAATCAGAATCATACAGTGAGCTCCTACAGGCATAGGATTTAGATGTTACAATTCAAGGTACATCAGTCAGGGCTTTGCAAAGAGTGCATCACTGGAAAGAAGCAGAAGACATGTTAGTTGAGATAAACCAGAATTCTTATCAAGTGTAGTTGTTAACTCTCAGAAGGTCAGAGGGATTTGGGGGAATGAGGAAGGTGGCCTAAATGTAGGCCAGCCCAATATAACACTCTGTGTCTCTAAAAAATATAATTCATGGGGTTGGAAAAATGGCTTAGTGGTTAAGAGCACTGACTGCTCTTGCAGAGGACCTGGGTTCAATTCCCAGCATCCACATGGCGGCTAACAATAGTCCATAACTCCAATTCCAGAGGATCTGATGCCTTCTTCTGACCTCCACCAGCATTGCACGACACAGGTGCACTTACATACATGCAGGCAATACACATAATAAGTGAAATGTTTTTTTAAACAGATATATAATTCATGAGGATGCATCATCAGTGTATTGGTGGTAGTGGAGGGTCAGAACTTCTATTAGGCTGTTGGTAAATCAGAAGCATTTTAACACAGGAGGAGGAAGAGGAAGAATGAAAGCAATCAAATTGGCCGTTTGGCAGGTATGACCTGACCAAGGGCAGAGACAGGTTTAGGGTAAGAACTGACAACAATTTCTAGTGACTATCCTAAATCCTCAAGTCCCCTAAATCTGTTTATACAAGTGCCATTCTTTGAAATCAATGTCTTAAAAAAACCCTACTGCTCTCATGTGGTGGTGGTGGCGGGGGGCGGGAGGGGGTTGAGATGGGAGGTTGCTGAGAAAGGAAAGCTGAGAATCAAAAGGCCTCCTTTAGTTTAGATCTCAATGCTTAAATTGCCTTCACAGGACAAAGAAAAGGCTGGTGAGTAACTCAGACCCAAAGGTTGTGTTTCAAAGAGCTTTGCTATTTGAGTCTTGCCAAAGGACAGCCTTATTCTTATTCCAGGTTTGGAAATGCCTTTGGAATCGTGGTCAGAATTGCTATACCAATAGGCACAGTCAAGGTGTCTGCTCTTGTCCACAACCACTGGGAATACTCCAGAGTTGGTGTATTGCTGGTTTAAAGTGTCCCTGTGCATTCCCCCTGAGAGTTGATGTTTGCTCATTCAGGTTAGGATCAGACAGGGATGAATATAACCCTTGCATTGCATTTGTCTCCATACTCTCCTGCACCACAGCAGATTTGCAGGTGAAATAGGGTCCTCCAGGACTTTAGAAACTAGAAATGAAGTAGAATACCTGTAGACTCTTGGCTTGCCATTCGTGAGTGCAGGCAGTCCTTCTATCTTGTTCTAAACATCCTTGCCACCAGCCCTCCAATCTTGTTCTTAGCAACCAGGAATTCCACAAGTAAGGTTGCTGCCACCTTTAATGTAAAACTTTTGACTGGCACCACATAGATAAACTTCAAGAGTTTGGACAGCTAAGCATCTATGCAGCTCTACATCCATTTTGTATGACCAGGAAAACTGGGGGAGGAAGAAATAATAAAAGTAGCCTGATTCATGCTAAGAAGTTGCTATTGATAGAAAAGTATTTTGAAATTATAACATGATTCATAAGTGCTAAATAACTAGTAGAAGTCTGTCATTGACAGCATGAAATTAGAAACATTGAACACTCAGATCTCAAGCCTCACTGTTGAAAATACTTTACTCTTACTGCCACAAAGGGTCAGTAGTGAGATCTACTCTTCACAAACTGTGTCTCAGTGAATGTTAGTTAGCACTATAAAAGAGAAAGCAACTGAACAATAGCTGGATTATGTATCCTGTTAACAGGGTCCTAATTGTGATAAAGAGCTAAATGCTTTGATCCCAACTAATCTGACACAGTATAGGAAAGTGCAAAAGCCTTGGGATCCAGACCTAGCACTATCTCTGACTATCTGTTAGACATACAGGCTCTGGGAGATCCATTTCTTTTCTCTAGAATTTGATACGGGAGAAGGGGCAGAAAATGGATTTCCTACCAACAGTAAAATTCTATTGTACAAAGATGAGGATTATTTTTAATTTTTTTTCAAAGACAAATGTAAACTAGCATTTTTAAAAAGATGACACCTAAAGGAGATTATCAGATTGTAACAAAGCAGAGATTTTATTTTAAATTAAAAACCCCTTCTGAAAATTCATAGGTATAATTTTGTAGGTAATGAGCGCTTAGAATTTCCAGATGAGTCATTGCTATGACCTTGGGTAGTGGAGAATGAGAGGATTTCTTAAATCTGTTACTTAATTGATTTTTAGGGTTATTGCCAAGGTCGTTACTAGAGCTCACTCCAGAATACAAATATTCTAATAATGACACTTTTCAATCACTGAAGGTCTCTCTTTCTTCCCCTTTGCCCTTTAGTTTTCTTTCAGGATTTTCAGAAATCAGAAACCACCTCTTAGTTAACCAATCACTGAGCTAACAGAGGCAATCAGATGATCTGGGTATTTCAACACTGCAAATCAAGATCAAATTGGAGGGCAGGTGAGCTGACTTGGTAGGTAAAGGTGCCTGCCACCAAGCTTGACAACCCGAGTTGAACTCCTGGAACCCACATGGTAGAAGGAGAAAACAGAGCCCTGCAAGTTGTCCCGATTGTTACATGCATGCCTCCCAAGGCATGTGTCTGCCCCCACCCACAGAGATAAATAATTAAATGTAAAAAAAAATGTTATTCATTCTGAACCTGCTTCATAAGGTTTCCCAGCAAAAGAATAGTTTATTAATAATATACACCTTCAATTTTGGGTTCATATTGGAAAGTAATACTTGGGTTCTCTGCTATGAGCATCTTTATATACAAATCTTGTATCTCTATTTGGTGATCATTTGATTCTGTCAAATATTAGGTTCAGATTTTTAAAGAATCTTTCCAAATAACAATAGTCAATATTTTAAGTTCTATGATCACAACATCATTATAAGAAAACCTATCCAGATGTTTTTGTTTCTTCCCATAGTAACACAAAAATATTTATCTTGATAATTCAGTGCTCTTTGTGTAAAAATAAATTTTCATTCCTAACTTAATCAAATATTGCTGCAGAAGCAGTTCAAGTTCTCAGTGGCTTATCATCACAATCCTTCACTTCTAATATATATCACATGATCACTGATAGTTGACTGTGGCCTTGCTCTACACAGTGGACCAGGGTATAGATTTTGTCTTATCATTATCAGGTTCAAGTTGAAAGAGAAACCCCTATTTGTTTCATTTTTTTAAATATTTGATTAATTTTATTTTATGTGTATGAGTATATTGGCTGCATGTATGCAAGTGTACACTTCTCATGCAATGCCTACAGAGGCCAGAAGAGGGAGCATAGGAATCCCTTGAAACTGGAGGTAAGGACAGTTGTTAGCCACCATGTTGGTGTAGAAACCAAACCCAGTTCCTCTGCAAAAACAGCCAGTGCTCTTAACCACTGAACAATCTCTCCAGCCCCTGTTTCATGTTGTTTTAAGGAAGAGAATAGGTGGAAATGGCCCAG